GGGAAAGAAATAGCTTTTGCATTTGATAAAAAGTAGTTAGAAGTCTTAATCATGCAGATTGATAGAAGAAAAATACTAAGATACAACTAGGCAATAAATCTTTAAAACCCACACATGCTCATGTCACCCAAGTTTTTTTTAATCTGATCATGCTTTCCTATCTTCCTTTTTTGGTGGTGCCTACTCTTGATGCTTCTTCATCAGCCAGGACTAAGGAAATAGAAGGACAGAATATCAGAGGATTATTTGTCTTTATCAAAACCAGCACAGCTCTTCTACACAGGCCCGTATGGGAGTTCTACTTGTCTGCCACATCTTGTATGGATTAGAACCAGTTAACAGTGGTAGTGGCTGTAAGAAGTACCTCACATTCCAGTCAGAAAAATCCCCATGAAGACCCCAATCCTGAACAGTTTCCTGAAGGTGTTCTGCAATACAGAGTTGCACAGGCTGTAGACCATACAGAAACATTGCCTTTCGCAGTTCCCGAAACAGCATTAAGATTGAATATGCTGTTACAAAAAGCCTCTCTTATATAATTTGTTTACATATAAAATTGAGTGAATATAAATATGCAGTTTTAGAGAAATATTGCCACCGGTTTTGCCGGTAGAGAAAAAGATGAAGCAAGAAATCTGTTGCCACACACACCCCCTCCAACTGACACAGCATTCAGCATCATGGTAAATGTTTCTGACTTGTATAGAAATTAAAAAGCAATTCTAAAGTCTTTAATTACCATCTTTTGCAACACTATCAAGTCTTCCTTCATTTCACAATTTCAGTTTTCACATTGTAAAAGTGACTGCAATACTTTACCTCCAGTACTGCAGAAGTATAGGAGAACCCTGCACCGCACACAGATTATTTCAGTATTGTTATCAAACCGTAACTCTTCACACGGACTTTCCAGCCTCCTGTGCATCACCATGATAATTTTGCCTACATTACCCTGCCTTAACTTGCTTACAAATGCAGAATACCTGACATTGGGTAGGAAGACTGATTAACATCAAACTTTCATTTAGTTAGGCTTCTACAATTGTACTGAGAAATAGTTTCAAATGGCTCAAGGAGAAGAACTCTGTCCATAAGTATTACTGACAATTATCCAAATGCTGAAGACAGGGAACACAGCATAAGCATTCTTCTTCCTTCTAGTACAAGCAAGGAAGTACCACCTAGATTTTATCATTTCTGCTTAAAAAACTATTGGACTAAAATGAACTAACCTTCCTTTCTATTCAAGTCACTAACCAGGTATCAGAAGGGTAACTATTTAAGCACTGGATGAACTTTATTGTAAAAGGACTATTTAATTCCATTACAACAGTTCAAACTTTAGAGAAAAACATTATTAGAGAAAACTGCACATGAAGGCTGAAGACACTTAAGTGAAATCAGAGAGACTTACTTAAACAAAGAATACATCTATACATCACCTTGTATTCTGCCTGATTTACATATATATAGCTCTTAAAATATCACTGCTTCTTTTTAAGCTGCAAGTGCCTCCAGGGAGGGAGGTTACCAACCCTATGATTCTACAGAGAACTCCAATTATTAAGGTATTAAATACTATGAAGAATGAGGATTTCTTTATGATGATTATTACTTCATGTATACTCCTGGCCAACATAAAAGCTATATCCCTGTATAGCAGGGCATTTCCATTTTCTGAGATGGGTTCTTTGCAAGAACATCCCCAGCACGTATATGCATGTCCCCTCCTTTGAACAGCTTTTGGACTCTCCGGTCAGCGTGAGCAGTAGTTGACAGGGGCCGAATTCTCACTCTTTGCCAGGTTTCTCTCCCTAGCAGTGTCCTGTTTTCAGGAGACTCCAGCACCTGCCCTTACTGGAGGGAAAGGTTGCAGCAAACACTTCCTAGTTATTTAGATACCAAAGAGTCAATGCTGGAAAGATCTCCTGCAGGTTTTCTCCACAGAGGGGGCAATTCAGAATAAAGCTTACATCAGCTATAGGACAAACCTGCAGCAAGCCAGGCTCCACAAGTCATGGAATAACTGCTTTGTAATGAAAAATAATCACTACTTTAAACACCAGTTTCAGACATTGAAACTAAGAGAAAAATGAAATGGGCCCAGAATTTCATGAATTCACATGGCTGTGCTACAGAAAGCAAGAAAGTGATTCGCAAAAATACAGTGAAGGTTGTTTGAGGAATAATACCTGCGAAATCATGAGAAGGTGGATACAAAGGTGGTAGGGTTTTGTTTCTAACTGGTGGATATTTTAGCTTCACATGATTTTGAAATTAAACACATCTCTGTCTATTACAAAGTTGTGAACAAGTGAGAATCTGGCAACTGTATCTTGAAGTGTGGACTACCTTTAATTTAAGCCTAAGTTTGTAACTACGAAGTTTGTAACTTTAAGGTCCTGCACAGTTAAGAGAATTCAGGAGTGAATTGAAAAAAGTAGTAGTAGTTCCACATATTTACAGAAACTAAGCAAATACAGAAAAAGCAGAGTCTTGCTAAAAATAACAAATGCCTATCAAACTTGTTTGCCTTTCTTTTTTGGTAGTTGTGCAACTACTGATAATATGCTCAAGTATTTGCACAGGATTCTTTTATTCCAAAAGTCCTCAAGCAAACTTAATTCACTTCACTACTAACTAACCGCATCTCAGTAGTCAAAGTAAGATATCAAAGTTCAACAGCAGTAACTCCACCCAGGAGTTTTGGTTTAGTCACATACTAGGAGTGACCTCTTCAAACATGGCAATTTAAGAGTGCTCCTGGGATACCTTTAGAAAGCTCTGACTTCCTCTTTAAACATCAGCACATGTGCAGAAGCCTTCATCCAACTTTTTTTTTTTTTTAAACAAAAGTGAAACATCTTTAC